ACAGCATTCGTGCCCATTTCCTCCTTGAGCAGCTCATTGACGCACACCGCCATGGGGAAGTGAGGGGGGACGGGAGGTGGTAAGCGAAGAAAATTTCTCCTGCATTGGAATTCAGCGTCACCGAAGTTGCTGGGAGCATATGTTGGAATATAACTGACCGTCTGCCTTCTGCCACCTGCCCAACAAGTGCGATCTTCACATCAGACAATGAAACAGATGTGAATGTACACACATACAAACACACATACACACACACATCATTTATACACACGCACATACCCAAACACATTATTTATACACATGCACATACACACATCAATGCACACACACAAATATACATACACACACACACACTTGTACTTGTACTTGTTGCTCACTGCCAAAACTGGTCACGTGAGTCCTCCCCGGGAGAGGGGACAGACTCAAAAGGAATCTTGGGAAGATGACTCAATTGGTTATTGAACCGCCCAACGGCCGACACCCCCTGAAATCCCCAAAACTCTGGGTGGACTGGAAAATGATCCCACTTATGGGCTCACCACACCTCAGTAAGTGGGTGAGGACATGGTGCAGAAAAAGGATTGACGGCATCCAACTGCAGTTACCCCTGCCCGCAGTGAAGGTAATACTCGCTACTAGTGTGAGTGGCTAAATCAGAATGGATCTGATAAAAGCTTCACTAGCACCATTGATTACACAAGAGTTCATCTAGCCAGAAGCAGTCCATGGTTAACAGGTATGTATACTTCAAATAGAAAGTACATGAACCCTGAAACCAACAAAGGTGGTAGGTACAACAATACACCTTCAAGTAGCCGAGCCCGTTGGCAACAGACCCAACACAGTTAGGCATAAGTGAACCCACCAACCGAACTGGCTGGCGAACACACACACACACACACACACACACACACACACACACACACATACACACACACACATACACACACACACACACACACACACACACACATGCGATTATTCCCATGTACTCCTGATAAAAGTAAGACTGTGAGACTCATTTAAAAATGGCGTCCAGCATGACTGCAGGTAAGGCAGGCAGCAAGAATTGGCCCTTGAAACATACCGAATACAATGATGATGCCACCACCGCCGGTACGGCCTGTGGCCCTCAACACACACACACACACACACACACACATACACACACACACGTCCCACTTCTTGGTGCGCGAGCTAAACGCTACACACAGCGAGTGAGCCGACCGTCCAGTGAGGTGAGGAAGTGCATGCGATTGATGCCAGGTGGGGTGCTCGCATGCCTGCAGTATCTGCGCTGCGATGCAGAATCCGGCCTAACTAAATCCCACTCATCACCAATCATGGGATCAAGAGTCTGCTGGACGCGCCCGGGATGATGCTGGATAAATGGAACAAAATCCACCTGTCAATGTGAATTCTAATGTTTCTTTGTGCATGTGTTGTCTTTATGTTGTCTTCTACTTCCATGGGGAAGACTGTGTTGCTCCCTATATGGGAGCTCGCGGTTTTCCTGCCGATTTGAACTCTCACTGGACTGACTCACGACTGCCTTCCAGAGCACACGAGAAGTCAATCGAACCGTCCACTCGGCAATCCTGCAAGAAAGCACCACTCCCTGCTCAATACACAGTGTTTCGGGGAATTCACCCTCCTCAGTTGAGCTTTAGTAGGCTGAGGAATATTGTGCCTGAAAAGCACCACTTATATTCTGCTCTCCAGGCACAAACATCACCAGGGATACAAACTTACAGAGACGCTCCGTTTTCAGGGCGACAAACACCTTATGACGGCGTGAGTCAGTGTCGCTCATGGAGGTGCTGAATAAGAGCTGAGGACCGTTGGCCATCCACAACGTTGTTGCCTCCAAAACATCTAATTCGCAAGCCCACCCTGGGGACAATGCTTATAATTCAATGTTTGGTGATGTTAGTGGTGGAACGAATGTCAAACATAGTAGCCGAATATTCTTTGGCTTAACGAACGAATACTCGTTTGGTAACGCAGATGACATCACATGAACTCTTCTCCATCATTTCATGGATATAGTCATTATCATTAGGTATAGCAAACGGTAGTGCCACTTAAAGGGGCACTCCGGCTTCATTTTCGACACCGAGTTTTCGATGCCAAGACGAAGGTAGGTGAAAGAGAAGACCCCTCGAACAAGAACGAGTCTCCAGAAGCGATCGAGTCGAGCAGGAAGACGACTTTTGAATTTCGCCGAGCGAGCGCTGATGACGTAATGAGGGATTAGCTTGCCAGTGGAAACGCACCTGCGCACATACATTTTACACACTTTTTGGCCAATTTTCAATCGAAGAGGAGGTTGTTTTCTATGTTCTCCCAACGTCGTGAGCGATCCCGTCTTCTATACCCTTCCAGGTACCCTGAAGGTCCTCCAGACGAGAATTTATCTCCAGCAAAGCGTTGTTGATCCGCTAAATTCGTCTCGAGACATATTCAGTGCTGATAATGTAGAATGTTGAATCTGTGGTAATTGTCGACGATGGAGAGAGAGAGGCTGATAGCCGCTGTCGCAGGGAGAGTGAAGCTGCTGGAAGTAACAATGGGGAGCCCGTTTGTATCATCTGAACAACCAGACTTTAAAGCAGCTTGACCAAATCGGAGGGTGCCTCGTTGCTTATCGTGAATATTACACCGACATGAATTACTACAAGTATACTGGTGAGTTTTTATCTTGTTTTGTTCGTATGCTAGTACCCTGGCCTGGAGTTCTCGTTAGCACATTCCTATTCCCTGGCGGTTTCTAAACATTCCGTTTAGTACTGAATACGTGATCAAGTATTCCGATTTGGGTAGATGTGGAATTTGGACATGTATTTTATAAAAAAATTCTATCATAAGTTTCCAAATAGAGAAATGTAGAGAAATGGTTGCCCAAATACAACAAAATAATTGATTCTGCAGTTCTACAACTTGTACTGAAATCCAGTCAAAGTAAAAATGATTCTTCATGACAGTTGGGGTCAATGAAATCTGATCCAGGCATAACGAATGGTGACGCCTGCCACCCCGGGAACGAATGCCCATTTGGTGGGGGATACCAAAGTACTCGAAAGTGGTGCGTGTTTCAATGTGGCATTTTGGAAGTTTTATATGATCTCTGGTCAATGCAACATACGATAGCCATCATGAATTCCAGGCCTCGAACGCAACTCAGACCAGAATCGGCAGTTCCCTAAGTTAGATGCTTTATAATTCCATGGCCCCAGCTGTAGTTATACCGTAAAATCCCGCCAGAGCGCCCCTACCTCCTCGACGCTTCAGGTGGGGAGGGGCGGATGGGCGAGTCCTACTTGCCGCATTCAGTGCCACATGAAAAAGTACTCACCCTACGAAAACTGTTCGTGCATCTCGTACACCGACCAAAGGTCAAGAGCCAGGAGTCGAACAGATCCGACAAAACGCAGGGTTTGTGCGATCCCTGGTCAGGAGGGTGGGCACTGTTGCGTACATTTCCAACGGGGTCGAGCACACGTCTACAGTGCAGTACGGCATCACAGACTGCGACAGAGTCATACGAGGATACAATCAATCACGTCCCTGACAAGAAGTCAGGTAGGGGCGGATGGGAGAGCTCTGGTGGGATTTTACGGTCGAGGTTTTTCTTGCACATTATTCTTATAGTCGATAGGTTTATACTGATGGCCACAAACAACGGCAGTTCAAACTTCACTGATGTGTTCATGAGCTGAGAGATTTCTCTCCACTATTTCTGTTGTGCACACAGGTCTGTCCAATATGCATTGACCGTATTGAGTATGGTATCTGCTCTGAGAAGGGAATCGCTGGAGCCACAGTCCAACTATACAGGCTTTCAAGAAACAGAGAGGAGCCATCTTTGCAAGCTGATACCTGATGTGTACCGACAGAATTCTCACGAGATACCTTTCGGACTACGTCTGGTGTATACTTCATAGTACTCCTTCGACTACGGTCTAGAACCAAGTCGACTGAAACAAGTTCAAACAACTCTGGCTTCAAACGAGCCGTTGATTAGACAAACAAAACATTCTCTCATATACTAGAGCACTCTGACAACTCATGACCTATTCCTAACGATTGCCACCGCTTATAAATATGTAGAGTGCTGATTGGAATGTGCTCACAATCTCAACAGTGCTATAATTATTTGAACAATGTGTTAGAATATTCCACTTTTCCTTCCATAAATGTTGTATCCACATATAATCCACAGTGCTGCAAAGTTTCAGAGTTCTCAGGGTATCAAACAAAATTATTTCAAATACAGTTAAAAATTGTTCGTGGACATTATAGCGGAACTTGTAGTCCCCTGGTCCTTTTCTTTGCTATAAATTAATCATTTGCTCTCTATATGTTGTAGCCGCCGGCGAGTCCAACAGTGAAATTGTTAGTTCATATTTATAATGTGGGTATGTGGGAGGGGAGGGGGGGGGGGGTTGAACATATTTCTATATATAAGGGACCTGCAACTGTAATACCACAGTACAGTAGCCAGCAAATATGTAGAAAACAGAAATGCATGTTACCATCATTGTACATGGACGGGCGCAGCAGGCCGAAGCCATCAGCCAGAACAGGATTTACAATCACCTAGAGATACTTGAGCTATTCCAGTATTCTCCGTGAGCTGTCCCATTCCACAATGGTTCATGCCACCATTATTTCTGGTAGTATCCATGTGCATAATTCCAAGACCATCTCGGATTCTTCAGCAATTTGTGCCATGGCAAAAGACAACGCTTGACTCGGTCACTGGGGCTGTCAAACTTCCCATCACAAATGAACTTCAATTTCTCATCTGTTTCAAGTATGTGTACTGCCATGACTTGACCATCATGCGGCTTCATCCACAGCTGGGCGAAGATTGTGGCGTTGAATTCCATAGCGCACCTTCTTGCTGCCATGCAGGAGTATGTTGAGAGAAGTGAACATATTTTTACTAAAATACAACAGCCACTGAAGAGGATAGCAATAGCCTTGGGTGAATTTCCTGCAGGTACACGTTGTTGGTAGGTCTACTGGTCCGTCTCCATATCGTCAAATTCAGAAATCACCTATACTACACTACACATCTTGTAGAAGGGATCCTGATCGAATAATTTCTGGTCATAAGATTCACTAAACTGAGGGCGAGACAAATAGTCAGTACTCCCCGATTCCGTCAAGCTGCTTTGAAGTCTTTGAACGTTTGCGGTACTCCACAGTACCAGTCATGTGCTGTTTACCGCCTCCCCGTTGTTGTATTCTAACGTTAACGTTATTCATTGACTGAGCGTTCTTTGCTTTGTACTACACCCTGCTATCATGTTAGGCTATTTCCTACAATATTTTACTGTTTCCATTCGCTTCCATGTAATTGGGCGACACCGCCCGTTTGGTTCTGCGAATTCAAATAAAAATGTACCTACCTACCTAAGTCTGGATGCTCATGTGATGCTAACAAACTCCCCGTTGTTACTTCCAGCAGCTTCACTTTCACTGCGACAGCGGCTATCAACCTCTCTCTCCATCGTCGACAAGTATCACAGATTCAACATTCTACATTTATCAGCACTGCACTGGGTGAATATGTCTCAAGACGAATTTAGCGGATCAACAACGCTTTGCTGAAGATTATTCTCCTCTGGAGGACCTTCAGGGTACCTGGAAGGATATAGAAGACGGGATCGCTCACGACGTTGAGAGAACATAGAAAACAACCTCCTCTTCGATTGAAAATTGGCCAAAAAGTATGCGAAATGTATGTGCGCAGATGCATTTCCACTGGCAAGCTAATCCCTCATTACGTCATCAGCGCTCGCTCGGCGAAATTCAAAAGTTGTCTTCCTGCTCGACTCGATCGCTTCTGGAGACTCGTTCTTGTTCGAGGCGTCTTCTCTTTCACCAACCTTCGTCTTGGCATCGAAAAATCGTCGTCGAAAATGAAGCCGGAGTGCCCCTTTAAGGCTACACTGTACTTCGAAGTTCATACATGTTATGTGCAACATTGGCAGTCCAGTATGCGCATACATGTGCAACCATGCAGTACATGTACAAAGTCACAGGCAGGCTGTACGCACTGCACCATTCTGGGTTCGGCGTGCATGTATGTACCGTAAAATACCGTTAATCCTCCCTGTAATGTTCTGGGACATTATTAATATTATTACAGTACTGGTCAAACCAAAGCACTAACGAAGACAAAACTAAAGACCAAGAACCAGGAACATAAAGCACAGAGAAAGGGAACAAAACAGATACACATATAAATATCGTACAAGATACTATAATAGTACAATACTATAATATAGTACTAACCAGGAGGCCTGCAACATCACACCCCCCCCCTTCCCCCCGCCGAAGTCGCTTCACAGGTAGAAAATCGACAGGGGGCGGGAATTAGAGAGGGGGCGGGAATTAGAGAGGGGGCGGATCAACGGTACTTTACTGTATTCTATATGCACTGCAGGTTGAGTTAGGTTGAGTTGGGTAACTCCGCTCTTCTTCCTCGCTCACCGGAGGAATTTCTCTAAGTCTCCTCGCGCAACTGGGGAGCACTCCAATGGAGAGAGAAAGATTTTTATAGGGCGGCTTGGTGTGAGAGGTGGACTGAGACTTGACGGCGAATATCAAGACCTTACGGCCACGGAGCTGCGGGGCTCTGCGCTGGTCGTCTATCCGTGTGGAGGCAAAGCAAACGCGGGCAACATTCTGCTGAAGCGAGCGTGGAGCTGAAGCTGGATTGGTGACTGACGTACCTGCTTACTCCACAACATCGGCGCATAATGATGTGCATGTACAAGACTTCGTGAGTATTCAACTCAAATTCGTGTTCCGTCAGCGTAAGTATCAGCAAGTACAGTCATGTAGTACAATTTGTTCCCAAAATAACTTCGGGACAGTCTGTTCATGGTTTTCATTTGTACTGGACTCGTTCTCTACACTTGCGATAATTTAGCGGCAATTCTAACGTTGTAGCGTTGTTCTCTTGTAATTTAGTGGAACCTGTATTGAGTAACTGAGTTTTATGTTTCGTTACATTGTCGTCAGATCTCCTGTGTACCGGTTTTGTGGCACAATGATTATAGCCATTATATTTGGTCGTCTCCATTCTTGTGCAATCATGCATATGTAGGTTGGTTCTCTTCATGTTATTGTGACCAATTTCATAGATGTTGGTTGCCTTGTTGCTTTCTCTCCCCTCTCCTCTCACCCAAGCCATTCTGCATAAGCGAAGCTGTGGACGCAGCATACTGCTGCTACACTTCAACGCGGGAATGCGTGTAATAATAATAATATGCACTGCATTCGAAGTGACGTCACGAATACTCGAATGTGACATATTCAAATATTCGTTTCACCACTAGATGTTACCCTACCATTCTCGATAATTTTTATGAAGTGTTTTAGCTAAAACCCTTCCCCAACCCATCCCCACTATATGTTTTCCAACAAAGGAAGTTTCCATAAATGGTGGGAAGCAGCATAATGGGTGGTTGATGCAAGAATAACTCTCTTAGACCCACCCATTCATAAACGAAACATCATTTTCGATAATTATGGATGGGCTTCAAGCTGGTAAGCCGAAACAAAATATGAACTAAGGCACAATGTCTTGCTTACTGCACGTTCGTTGATATCCGCACACAAACGGTAGCTTGGTATCGGCTGGATAGCGATTGCCGTCAGACGCCAGGAAGCGTTGATCATGCTTATAGCTGCTTGTATACACATCAGGGTACCTGGATATCCAGAATGGGGTCTGCCTGGCGTTGACGTCGGATACGTGCGTTCGAATATGGTGGTCAAGGCAACCGGCAGCCTGGCTCTCTTCCGTGGCTATGCCTGAGATCTTGACGAAGTTCAAAGCGGTCTTTTTCACTACATACTTAACGAAACCCCTGGCGCTGGGCGGTCCCCTTGGCCATGGTGCCGCAATCATATCCTTTGCCCTCATAGTCTTTTGGCAGAAAAGCTCGGCTTCAACATAAGCCATTGCTTGTGGAATGGCTGGTGTCTGCAGGGTGGTGCAGGTCTGTCTGCAGACCGTAGCCTGGACCTCTGCAGTTCATAAAGCACAGAACAGAACCCAGTTCGTAAATCCAGCACGTGTCCTTCCTGGCGATAACGCGTCTCGCACGTTCATAAGCCACGTTAGCATACCGGTAATAATAGAATCTGAAATCTTCTCGAGAATCGTGATCCATGCAACCACAAAGGAGTACATTTTGACAAGTTACCATCAAGGTGCTCAATGCAAAGAGTACGGAGCGTTTCGAACGAGAAAGAGAATCAGTCGGCATGCATCGTAATCAGGGAGTCGTCCTCAAACTAGGAAGTCGTACTCAAACTAGGGAGGTGACACGGCACAGAAATCCGTGTCACAGGGGTTGACTCGCACCCGTAACCCCTCGTTGTTATTTTTGGAATAGTTCAGTCCAGTCCAGTCCGAAAGGTCCTACTCGGATCGACTCGCCTTCTGTAGGAATTCGAGGAATTATTTACAGAAAATTGCGGATTTGGGCCAAATCATGAAATTTGTTGCATCGTTTATCTACTCGTGTTATGTACAATTTGGGTCAATTTTTAGTATTCGGATTAACCTAGGCTACGACTCTGAACAGTTCTGAACAGTTACCGCAACACTACACGCCGTCTCATAACTGCTGCTGTTGCCATCACTGCTATCAAGTAGTTCGGACATGGCGGGAGCTAAAAAATTGCTGGTAGTCTTTCAAAGAATACTGGCGAGTGATGGGCTGGCTGTAAACGAAATGTGCTGCCTCAAAAATTTCAAAAACTAGACACCCATGCGGCACGCTTGGCGGTGAAGTACAGAAGGCGAGTCGATCCAAGTATGACCTTTCGGACTGGACTGGACTGAACTATTCCAACAATTACAACGAGGGGTTACGGGTGCGAGTCAACCCCTGTGACACGGATTTCTGTGCCGTGTCACCTCCCTAGTTTGAGTAAGACTCCCTGATCGTTATGTTACTGCAATCATCGGACGACTGACACTGAAATCTGAGACTAATCGTTATTGTATGTGATCATGCGTGATGCTTGGCGCTTCATTGAGTGGAGTGACTACCAGTATATGTACATGTACGGTAACTAGACAATAGAATACAGCATTCGCTAGTAGTAGGACCCTTGATCCAAGTTTCCACATCTTCGCTATGAAAATTGTATACACGTAGTGCAAAGAGAAAAAGGAAAAACTGCTGCATTTTTTATTTACAGCCACTTGCAGGCCAAGCGTTCGCCATCATTTTCTTTGGCGGTCATCCAATTTTGAATGCGTACGGTAAAATGGATACCCACCAACCAACCACTAACAACAGTGGGTAACATTACATGACTCTTTTTGTACATCTTTCCATGAACCTCAGCGCAGCAAGAACAATAAGGAAAGTAAAAAGTAAATTATTGTTTCCATTCCCGAAGGGAACTCACGACGGCCGCTAACACCCGGTAAACCCTAGCGGCAGATGCAGCGCCTAACAGTGGGGGTGAGTGGATAAGTCTCACAACCACTGGCACAAGTGCCGAGGAAGACCCTATTAGCCGCATCCATGTACCCCTTGTGCCTGGCCACAAGTTCCCAGTTGACTGTAGGTAGAGCAGCACGGCTGGAAAAACCGCTCCCAGGCAGGACTTTAACCAGGTGTCTCTCGTATATCAATCATGGTCTTTGACCAACCCACTGTGCCTGCCTAGTCTAAGAACGACAAGTCACACTCATACATGTTCTGTCTCATCAGGGCTCTCTGGGACTGGCAAGTGCCCATAGCTCCTCGCAATGCGACGCATGCATCCATTTCCCACCGTTGGGTTTTGCGTGACTAGTACAGTCCACTACAATCGTACACACACTGTGATACCAGCTCTGCACGAAAGGTCGACCATGTACTGTGTACGGTCATAATCAAATAATGCACGATGACGGGTGGTACCTGCCATAAATGGGGCAAGTTGCCCTGTAAAAAGGTGATGGCCATCTTTCATGCATTCCTGCCACTGTCCGTATTATTCCCACTGTACCCAAACATCTTGTTCCGGCAAAATAAACACAAGAGCAACCTCAACAGGAAGAAAATGAGCCACAATGGCTGTGAAAACGGTCTAATACCGAGGGAGCTAAAATGGCTATGGCCGAAGTCTAATACGGAGGGCGCTAAAGTGGCTGTGACCACAGTCTAATACCGAGGGAGCAAAACGTATGGTGCATGGCTAGCTAGCGTCGTTCAAGTGCAGCCTCCACGGCAACCAGAGATGCCGGTGAGGAAACATCGTGGGACACCCATGAAACACGCATTAGTCGATTTTGATGGGTAACAGTCAGAAATCTGGGACATGAAGTCACATTTTTCAACAAAGCCTAGAAATAGAGTAGTCAGATGATCCAGAAACAAAGTCGCAGACAGGGTGCCCGGCAGCCCGAGGTGCGGGAAACGTCGGGGTCCGGATAAGAGAGATAAGTTAGGAGTGTGTGTGCAAAACTACAGCGTGTATACAAATGTGCAGTAAACTTTGTTATGTTGTTTTCTATGTTTGACACTCTTACCTGAGTGAACCTCTGCGCGCATTGAGGACGGATGGTAGGGAAACCCAACAAACATACGCACACATCAACAAACACACACATGCACAAATACACTCTCTCTCACACACACACACGCACACACACACACACACACACACACACACACACACACACACACACACATACGTACGTACACACACACACACACACACGTGTACACGCAAACAGACAAACACACAAAGACACACATACACACATACACAGGCACGCACGCGGGCGCACAAAACACACACAAACACAAAAATTATTGCAAACTACCGTCAACTTCACGAAAAAGTCGCGTATAAAAATATTGACTTTATCGCCTTTCGACTTGCCATCAAGAGTACGTGTTTATGTACTCTTGTTGCCATGCTCTCGAATGTGCACAAGCCTACTACTAAAGTAGTATCATGACTCCAAGGTATTCCCAGGGTATCCCCAGTTTAGTTTCCAACTCAAATGGTAGCTTGGAGGCGGTCAAACTAGGTTCGCAATCTATAACTTTGCATGCATAGACACACTGAATCCACACAATCAAGGAGACATGTTATCAAGCACTGTCTTTCCCTTCCCTGTACTATCCTGAAGACAATGAAACACAATGTAGCACCTGCTCGAGTCGAAATGAATACGACTGCATGATCAAGTGCCTCGGTGCGCATACACCAGGGCGTAGTAAAATACCAGTATTTTACTACTCCCTGGTGCATAATATGCACGCATGTGAATAGCCAGCAAGATCATTATAATTTTGCTCATCACTGAAGTGGAAGAAGGGCTGAGGCTTCCTGCAGCTTCATCTGTGAAAAGAATTTGGGTGGACACACCCATTCTCATAGCGCTGCACATCACATCCGAACCAGTTCCGTTATTTTTACAACGTTTCAGCACTTGGCCATGGTCAGGTAATAACAATGAATACCGTGGAACCCACACAAGAGCAGTATATACGCAGAGTGTAGCGCCAAAAAAGATGCGAATTATGTCACCTAGTATGCAGAATGGGGGAGGGGGGGGGGCAGAGAGAGAGAAGGTGCAACTAGTACATCACGGAGAAGAAGCAGCAGCAGGTAGCGTGCATTGTGCTCTGTGAAGTGAATTAACCTCATAATTAGAATTAACACCAGAATATTTTGGCATGTACCCTCACTTTGCTGAGCACAATGGCGCGCTCTTCTTCTCCGTGATGTGCACAGTTGCACCTTCTCTCCCCCCTCGCATAGAGATGCCATAACTCGCATCATTTTTTTTGGCCCTACACTCTGCATAACGCCGTGGCACGCGTCCTCACTTCACAGAGCACAATGCGCGCTACCTTCTGCTGCTTCTTCTCCGTGATGTACTAGTTGCACCTTCTCTCTCTCTGTCCCCTCCCCCCCCCCCTCCTTCTGCATACTAGGTGATATAATTCGCATCTTTTTTGGCGCTACACTCTGCGTATATACTGCTCTTGTGTGGCTTCCACGGTATTCATTGTTATTACCTGACGATGGCCAAGTGCCGAAACGTTGTAAAAATAGTGGAACTGGTTCGGATGTGATGTGCAGCGCTATGGGAATGGGTGTGTCCACCCGAATTCTTTTCACACTGAAGTGGAACTCTGATAATACATATCCCCCCCCCCCCCCGGCAGTAGAAAAGAATACTTGGTATCAGAGGAACATTTTATCACAAGACACGCACATGTACATATGAACCTTTTTTTCTTTTCCATTTTTACTTTTAAGCATTATTCACAAACCCAACTCGTAAAATAAATAATTATGTTGACGTATGAATCGATACACCCATGCTCTGGATGATGTTGGTACTAAAGCAATATTACGTCTCGCCAGAATACATGGACGTATTTATAAAGCGACTTCCACTGCACTCACTTCTACAGTATGTAAGACCGGTTACACGGTGTGTTCCGTTGCGACAGGTTGATGTCGTACCGCCGTAGGGCAGTTCACCCTGGGGACAAATCACTGGCGACGTTTCGCCTTCGATCAGTTTGGGAAAGTACTCCGTGGCTGGACAGGTTTCTAAACACAGCATGAACCGCACAGGACAACACAGAGCAGGGCACGAATAAGCATCAAGAGTCTGACATCATACAATCTACAGTCAAATCTTCTTCAAACATGCAAATCTAGTTATCTGGCTGTGTATTTGGAAAAAAAATGTGGGTACAATTAAGTTAAGTGATCGAGTCCAACAACCAAATCAGAAGTTGAACAGTCAGACGTGCACAAGATAGCACAAAACCAAAATCTGATTTGGTTGGTGGACTCGGTAGCACAACTTGTGCCCACATTTTTCCATGTCACAATTTTTTCCTCGGTTAACAATCTGAGTTCCATCTTAATTTCTTCTATTGTTAACAAAGACAAGGCTGAGGACTTACTCAACGGCACACTATATTCACAAAGGAAGGTAAAATTCGAGTTGACGTTATACCACAGTTGGTTGGATGCCATTTTGGTCGTGCCTTGTGACGCACTCTTCACCCAGAGAGGCGGGCGGACGTTCTTGGACATTTTTCCCACATGCTGCATCAGGCACCCGGAGTAAAGCTTGGAGTACAGCGTCTCCAGACTCAAGATGTCGGAGTAATTGGAAGAGACCGGCGCCAGGCGCTGGCAGTCCTGTTCCGCTCCCGCGTACGAGGTATAAATGGGTTGTTTTCGGCTAGCAATCCGTGTAAAAGTGCCCGGACAGAACGTTTCCAGGATACCTGGAAAAGATAGAAGAAATAGAAACACAACCTAAGTTTGTATAGAAGATATACAAAAAACGAGAAGTCTTACGGAACGCGTGAGTATTCATTGCCTTTGCCATATTAAAATTTATAGACTACGTAACCTGACAGTGGTTCTCAGAAAGCAAACAAGTCTGCTATTTCTTCAGCTTCATACTGGTAATTCTAACACCACACGTTAAATCGAAAGGTGATGTCTGCATATGGCACTTGCACTGCTGGCATTGCATGCTCCTGCCATCATTATAGTCATTGTTGCATTGCTGCTGACCCACAGCTACTGTTAGATGCTAGGACAAAACCTGCCATCTGCAGGGTCAGCAAGTCAGCGAAACCAGGAAAGGGGTCCGAGACCACTGAGTGACGGACGTACACGTTACACTCGTATGCCTGGCCGGCGAAACCGGTCATGGATGCCGCTATTGAGCATGCATCGACAAACCGACAGCAAGAGGACGGGACGTTTCAGTGCAGCCTCTACGAAGCTCGAGCCCAGGGACATGAGAGGCATCAATGAGACCGATCTGGAGAACTTGCACGATGCTATGAGAGAAGTTATGCCAAACTGCCCCCTCTTCCCCCCAATGCCTGAAAGGGTGAATACCCAACATGTCCCGATAAAGTACAGGCCTGTTCCATGCTGTTCAACTCTAGCTACCGCCAACTGATTCCAGAAGGTATTTACTATGAGACCCTGCCTTGGGCAACTGAGGTGGAAGAGCAGCCGACGGAGGATCCTGGACCCCAGCTAGGGCAATAGGAACCCATATAACCCACGTCAGCATACTGACACTGGCAACAAAATTCATTGGTTTGCCTTTGTTACAGTGGTCATTCCTGGACGTTCAGCACCTACTCGCGTAAGCGAGCGACAAGCCTTAAATCCGTGTACCGTACTGGCAATATATGTTGCCGCGTAACGCGTAACGCAGGGGGTGCGGCGTAACGCGCGACCAGGCTAGTGCGGCAAATTTTCGTTGCGTTCGTAACGCTGCGGCGATCTTTTCATTGCAGTTTGCAAAAAATGATACGGCAACAGCAAAAAAAGTGATGCGGCAATAGCAAAAAAAGGACTGCGGCAATATAGAAACCTGTGTAACGGCTCCTGTGCGACTTTGCATGTAACGCCCTGCATGCGGTAAACATGTGCCAATGTAATGCTTTATGGCCTCACTGCGACCATATATATTGCCAGTACGGTATTTTACTTTGTGCATCCCGTGCACCAGACCAACTCAGCAATCGCATGCCCTCTCAGCTTTTTGAGCGCATATTTGACATATCCTGTAATTGTGATAATGACCCCAGAATTGTCCAACAAACCGCTGTTAAAATCAACCGCACGGGTACGTGTAATCACCCTGATCATGAAACCACGATCAGCATAACGTCGGAGATAGAGATTTCAGAGCGGGTCTGAGAGATGTGGCAGCTGTAGTGTACGGTCGTCCCTCTTCAATCCGGCACTTCAGAAACCAGCACAATTTTCAGCAACCAAAATGTCATGTTCATGCACACCGGAGTAGTACAGTCACCTTTGCATATAATGACACTCGGCGGGGCATCAGAAACGCGTCCTTATTTGTGAAGTTTTGTTATCACCGAAGTCTGATCATATGCATTACAGTGAGAAGGGACTTTGCTCTGGGCATGGAAATTCTGTCGCTATTCAGGGATTGTCATTATATCCGTAGTCGTTATTACGCGAAGTTCACTGTAAATCAGATTGTCAAATCAAACACCCTCCCTTTCGAGCAGAATTTCGGCAGCACAGATCGTGCCGGATTATAAAGGGATCACTGTACATGATTATTACTCCGGGCTCTGAGACTTTGATAGACTTTTGTCCACATAGTATGTATGTTGGTACATATAGGATTGTTTAGACGGACAGCATGTTGGTCCAGAGGGTGTGATCTTTATAGGCATGACATGTTAGTACATACGTTTTACAAGTTTGGGTCTGACATGTTATGCTGTGTAGGTATTATGAGCACTGGGCAGCAGCAATTCAACAGGAAACCTAGTTACAAACACAGCCGCAACCCATCATGGTGCTGCTTCGCAAATGCACTCATACCTTGGTTTTCCGGACACCGAAGTTACGGGCTCTTGGGTCTCCCGGGCAGCCTTTGGGTGAGTGTTTGTAATATTACTACTCTTTGGTCACTTTTTGTGGAAATAGTGACGTCATGCAATGTCTGCGGCCTTTTCCCATCAAAATGTATGCGATTCGGAGATACGGACATTGCAAAGTCACTCGCAGTGATGGTCCTGAATCACCCGGATAAACGAGGTATGAGTATAATCATAAATTCCCGCTCACTGGTTATGTACCTACCTGTGGCGTGTAAGGGAGCAATAGCGGACCAAGCCAATATGACCACCAGCACTAAGCTGAACGTGTGGATCTGCGAAACCTGAAATGGCAAAAACGAGAAGAATCCAAGAATACAAACATGGTGTCCTTGTTGTATCAAACACCATGGGACACTAAACACATATGATTCCATCCGCCCCATTGCCCATTTACAATGCCTGATTGCAACGCCAACACTGATACCGCACTTTTACATTGCATACATGAATCACTGTGCATGTACGTGCTAAAAAGCAGCAGGGCTGTTGGCTCCGGTCATCCCATCGGATTTCAATGTCCACGACTGTAGTAGTAGCAAGAGTATATAACCCCCCAAGAGTGTGCAACTCTGCATATGGGGTCTCCGACGGCGAAAACTCACATCACGTGTCTCAGATACCTTTGTACTACGTACTAATGTAGGATAGCGTGCGCCCAATCCGAAAATCTGCCGTGATCATGCCGTGGATTTGCATACGCGCAGTGAGTTTCTGTCAGAGAGTGCTTTTTTTAGTACTCCTCTGCTCGCTAAAACGGGCTGGAAACGTACAACTGCGACACTGCACCACGTGATGTGAGTTTTCGCCGTCGGCCTACCCCATAGAAAGGGTATGAGGAGTTGCACACTCTTGGGGGGTTATATACTCTCAGGGCTGCCACACTTGGAGGGAGAAAAATCTGACTGGGGTGCTGGGGTGTCCCCCGGTGAAATATTTTAGGAAAATGGCTTGCTGTTGAGGCCCCAGAACCCATTTTTAACTGTCCGCACATATGCAAGCACGCGTGCATTTTACAGCTACATGTACATGTACAATGACTGGCCAAACGCGACCTGGAAGCGCCGAATGGCCGACTGGACTAAAAAGCGCTCAAAGAAAAAACAATCCGTTTTTCTTTGTAATTTTCCATTCATTTTTTTGCTTTTTGCTTTGTTTTCCTAGCTTACTATTGCCGTGGCTGGCTCAACGTCCTTGTCACAGGGGATTCTGTGCCTGCATTAGCTATGCTTGTCACATGCTATGAGATTGTGTCTAATAATAATAATAATAATAATCGGTTGTCCCTCTTTCGGCACAAAATCGGTCGGTTTGTCCGACAGGCGATAAAAAATCGGACGATTTCCGAAAAATCGGAGCAAGTGGCAGCCCTGTACTCTTGGTAGTAGGCTATTGCCATGAACTGCCCACTAGTGTCTGTTCATTATCAACTGCTCGTCCTGCTCTGTAGAAATCACCGTATTTCCGGAGTATGAGTCGCACTTTAAGGTTAAACATGAGTGAGTCAGAGCGGATCCACGAAAATATGTTTTCGTATAAACGTGAAATACTAGAATACTGATATTTTACAACTCCCTGTCTTGACTCTCCCTACCCAATCGAGCACCTACTGCGAAAAAGTTCACAAGTTGTGCGCAACCTTACGATTTACAAATCTTCCTTAGCCTTTTTCGGTAAAAAAATATTCGTTACGGCGCTACGAATTTTCGTTGTGCGCAACCTCTCTATTACGAGTAGCTTACGGACTGATCGTACGAGGGTAACGGGGTTTATGGATGGGCACATTCGGTGCTCAATGCCGACGGCAGGAGTTGACAGGCTCTGGCGTGGTAGAGGTCAATGTACAGACTCAGCACTATCGCAGTGTCCGGCGCCAAAGAACGGAGCGCCGAAGAGCGAACAGCCTAGTATTTCACCAAGCGCAGTTGTATGCACGGTAACTCCACCAGGCATAGATTGTAGTACAGTAATAATAATTATACATGAAATTAGAAAGGTCTAGGCTACGAGGCAGCGAGGTTGACCCATCTCCCAAGTTCTTCGGCGACCGGTCAACAGTAACGTATTACCGGTAGTCGGTACACACACACACTCCCTTGACTAGGCCGTAACTTGCGCGTAAGCGTCGACTGTCGACTTCTCCGTAGTCGGGTGTTGCACTGCTGCGGAAGCAGCGCCTTTTCCGGCTTCGCCAACGATTGTTGTTACCGCTGTGGCCCAGTGTGGGGCTGGTCATGATTCTACAAGAACTACTACTATGCATTCTATCTACGTCAAATTTGAGTTGCGCTGTAGATATTGACGATGTACTCAGTCTTTGAGCGGTGCACTAGAGGAGCTCAGTTCGCGAAATACTCATACTCACTGTATCGCAGGAAAAAGGGATTTAGTTGGACGCACGCATTCGCGACTGGACCCAAGAACACTGCTGATTCGAAAATATTGATTTTCTTATCTATACTTGCTATACATGTACCAGCTACTAGCAAGGAAGGGAGACAAACATATTACTCAGTCATCAGTCTGCCAGCTGCAAAGATAGAACTAAGACTTGGCTCTAAGGTAGCAGCCTGGTCCTAAATTTTATGTGGCATTCAATTGACCGTAACTTTGGTGTCTCTCAATGGATTTGAGTGACATTTTCACCACACACTCCTGCCACTATGCCGGCCCTCTGGACATGATTTAAACGTTCTTGCGCCTCACTTACAGGCTCTCCAGGCCGGAAAAACTCAAATTCCGGCATAGTGCCACAGTTGGCGAGCCACCCAGGAGCCAAACAAATACTTTACAGTTTTTTAACATTTTCTAGCCAATTCTGTCCGTGCGCAGGATCCAAACCTAAAAACGTCCAGAAATAGCCATGGGTGGTGGGATAGGGCCCTTCAACTTGGCCCTGGAAGCTGTCACAACGGCATAAGTGGGCGTTCTGTCACAGACTCCCACAGACCCAAGTCAATTTTTGAATTAAATTTTTGTTAGGTTCAGGGCGTGCTAGAGGTCGTACCTTTGATACGACATCCAGTGCTGGGACCTCCACAGCAAGCCATTTCCACAGCGCTTCAAACCGAATCCAGGATACCCTCCAAAATCGGCAAAGACTACCATTCACGGTCCACAACTGCCCAGTACTGAATCCTACCTGACTTCTTGACACGACTCAAACTTGCCAAAGTCACTATTCTAGTCTAAATCAACGTCAACTACAATAATCAAGCCACATATCTGCAACGTCACGAGGGTGCTGGCAAAAGTCCTGCTGCACGGCGGCGGGCTTCGCCCGCCGCCATGCAGCCCAATACGTGGCTCAAAAACGTGATTTTTTGGACTTTTTTTGGACTTTGAGCAAAATTCTGCACACTTTCGCGTGTTTCCATAATACGACAAGTTGCGCACGGTCTGCTCACATTCAAATACAGTGCTGCCAACAAATGACAGCGTGCAACAAAAAAAATCTTTCCTTGCAAGGGCACGTTTTCGGCCATAACTCTGGAACGGCTGGTCAGATCGAGACAAAGTTTTCAGAGATTTTGCAGCTGTTCATGCTCTTTCAACTGATGTAGCACTCGATATGAATTTACAAATCCGATTTTTCAGTGATTTTACGACCAGGCTGCCACCTTAAAAATAGGTTCCAGAGAACGAAACCTTGAACTACTACTTACTTGTTGACGGATTCTAGCAAACCTTACTGGACAGCGCGCTGCAGCAGTGCGGGGCGCGACCCAAATCCAATGACCGCCAAGAGGTGTGAACTGGGTCTACCAGAGAAGCTCTACATCATCACTGACATCAGCATCGCTGGCAGGGCAACACTGTCATGACTACGGTGGAGATTGGATGTAACGACAAATCGAGTTAAGCGACAAAATTCTGTTGCCCAACTTGCAGCCCAAGTCGTTTAGCAAGTCCTTTCTGTACATTATAGATCGGGTATAACGACAGATCGAATTACTTTAGTGCCCGAAGACCAATCATAGTGTGACGTAACTTGTAGTTCCTTGGTCGTTGTACTTTCCTATAAACTAAGTTTTACATTTCAATTTCTAAACCTGAAGCCTCAACTCTAGATTTCGGATAGGAGCGAGATTTGTGACCATACCCCACCCTTTCCTCCTTCCTCTCACACCCAACATTCCTACTATTTTTGTTTCCCGTTGACACTCTCGCTAGTAGACTCACTACTCAGTCTGTCCCCCTCGCTTCTCTTGGTGCTATCCATCTCACGATATGATGATTCAAGGCCCTTTCTTAGTTCGACCTTGCATCTCGCTAGTGATCTCACTATCTGAACGCATCCTATCCAAACGACTCTGTTCAAATCGAGTGTAAGGTACGTACTCCCCCCCCCCCCACACACACACACACCTGACTTGTGGCCACAGTTATCAGGCAACAGCGATCGTGGACCTTTGGATCCACCCGGACGGGCGGACTCACTTAGGAGACTCCCTTCGATAGGCATCTATTTGCCTCTAGAGGATCCGTGAAATAAAAATCAATCAATCAATCAATTTGATATGGATCTATAGAAAGAATTCTGTCTCGTTGGTTCCGATCGCATTAGGATGGTATTATTATTATTATTATTATTATTACTTGCATGTACGCGTTGGAGTCAACTATGCAAGCATGATCCACAACTTCGCTTATGCTGAACATGATAAACAGGACTATGACAGGGGAAAAAATGAGCTAGAACGATGAAAATAATAATTATGATACTTATATCATAATATTATATACAATGTAGCTCACGGGTATTGAAGATATGTCATTTATGAATATGTCTATAATTATGAATATTGCAGCCTGAGTGATAATGATAGTGCTATTTCCTGAGTTTGACTGCTTCAGGATCTGTCGGAATATCACAATGCACAGACCCTCATGCATAGGTCTCGCCATGCTGGTCTGTCATGGGCAATGGCTCCCAGGCTCTGCAGAGCGTCTACTATTGAACAATCCAGCATTGGCTTGGCGCAGATCTCCCACCATAAAAACTACAGCCGCGAACCACGTAGTGGAAAGCTACACAAGATGGCCAACCCATTTTCACATGTACAGACAATTTGCAAAAACGTTCCGAACATTCAGGGAGAAGACATTACTTGCATGACACATTGGCAGAACGAACAAGGCAGACTCGAACATTCCAAGATTCTGCAGCCGTTGCGTTATTAGGGAGGTTAAGTGTCACGTTACGGATACGAGAACGTGGGTGATACACCCAAAGTTTATGTAATCGACCCACGTTCGCAATGATTATGTTGTTTTTGGTCACACGGAACAAACAAAAGCATGAAACGAAAGGCCCCGGCTTGGTCAAATACGAAGCTTTCCTTGCCCTCACAGCTTGCACTATGCGCCCCATTCTGATTTTCACCCAGGTTCTGGCGGCACGTGGGTGAGCCTCCATACACGGTATGCATAATAATTATGTCGAAGTCGTGAATCAGAAAACGGCTGTACGTGATGTGGTAAACACACGTAAAGTACACACGGATTACGTGGGACTGTAGGATGGTGCCCAGACTGCTGTTAAATTATGGAACGCCCTGCCCCAAGAGTTCAAGTCCCTCGCCTGCCATAGATCATTCAAGAGACTTTTAAAGGTTTATTTTTATGGTTAGCCAGCATCTAGGCTTGGACTTGGAGTCGTGACTCAACTGTGACTCAACTGTGCTTTCTTCTTCTTTATTTTTCTTTTTTTCCCTTTCTCTTTTTTCTTTTTGAGTATTTGCAGTCTGTGTTTTCTGTGTTTTTCTCTCTTTCGTGGAGGCTTGCTTGTTGTATCCTTGGCTCTCGGCCGTTACTTTATCGCCATCATAATATTGGGCACCATTGCCCGTTTGGTCTGCGATACAAAATAAAATAAAATTTCAACAACAGTCTTAGGTTCATACGACTCCCTGATCGGGACTACCATCCCGGCTGTGAACCGACTTCTGATACCGACACGTCACGCCAGTAATCTACATCCTGGCTATGAGTATGAGTATGAGCGGCCTACACTTCGCTAAGATCTGAGTACATGGATCCATATTGAACAAGAAAACACTCTTTTGTTCTTTTCACGTTTCAGCAGTAGCGACGAACTCGGCCATCTGAAAACAGCTTGAACTGTCCGCCTCTCCACACTCCTCTCTGGGCCAAGGGTGTGGAGAGGTCGACAGTTCAACTTATTTTTAACTACACTGTATTACTGTGCTCTCTGGATGGCAGTCGTGAGTCAGTCAAGTGTCAAGTCGGCGGCGGAATAGCGCGAGCTCCAGTGTGGGAGCAAACGCATTCCTACACTGTTTATATTGAACAAGAAGGTGTTCTTCTTTTTTTTACTTTCAGAAGTACCGACGAACTCGGCCATTTGAAAATAGCTTGAACCTCTCCACACCCCTCTCTAGGCAAAGAGCGCAGTGGGGAGACGTCGACAGTTCAACTTCGTTTTCACTTTTCAAAGACGTCATTGTTTTCCATCTCTATCGGACTTTGATTGGTCCACAGATGTCGACACGTGTGAGAAAGCACAGGCGCTCAGCGCAGTGAGTACGAGCGTACGTTTCCTACAATTTGCCACACATTTTCTGACACTACTGGAGGAACGTTTCTGTTTCCCGTTGCTACATGTACATATACATGTACATGAGTGTACTCTACTTTAATTTTTTAACGCAAGTTCACACATTATAATCCAATACTATTTCAAAACTAGTATTAGATAAACCTTGTTATACTTGTAGTTCAGAAGTGTTGTTAGATTGACAGCATGAAACAAGGTGGAGGACACTGCCAACCGTGGATGGTTGTAGTAAGGTCACTGACACTGCTTCCGAACACAGTGTCCTCCACCTTGTTTCATGCTTTCAATCTAACAACAAGTTCACACATGTGCGTTCACTATTGGAAATACATGTACTATCGCGTTAAGAAAATATTGGGGTAGGTAGGTTCGCACCTGCCATGCCTCTAACGAACGAGCATGAAAAGAGTTACAGGCAAGATACTCCTCACAGTGGCTACCATCTAATAAATGTACATGCGAGACGGAGGTTTAAAAGCAGGCTATGCATTATATGAGTGACCCCCAGCCTGTTGTGGGCAGTAGCGCCACGGAATGGCGGATAATGAGACACGCTCGTATTGTGCATTTGTTGCCCCTCGCTTGCTTAGCTAACCGACTCGAGACATGCAGGACTAAATCAGAAAAAAAAACATCTAAAAGGGACGGTAACTGAAACTCAAATACCAACACCGGACCTAAAGCAGGTGTACACGGCCCTTGGCAGATTCCGGTAATGTTAGAAAAATTGGCAGATTCTGATCGAAAAGCAATGCAATTGGCAGAACCATACAAACCATAGTATGGCATGTACTTCATTATTTTAAACTCTGCTCCATTTTCTTATCCACATACTAGCAACAGACATCCATGGAAGATATAATGAACCAGCCAAATTACCAAATTCACCCAATCTATCTACCGTCACTGTTCGCCAAGGGCTAGGGTTTACATGGACATGTATATTTCCGAGCATGAGCTGGATTTCATAATTACGTGAACGAACTCCTATGGGCTGTGCCATGATATCGTCGCATACACACACAAAACTGGCGCTTACCATTTTTTTCTGATCCGACAAGGTGAACACAGGGTAGACGAGCTCAGCATAAAGATAACGTTCTCCTCGCCAGATTTCTGCCAAAATGATATCAAACGGAGGTTTCGCCGCTGTTAGATTGCATTAC